TTAGTTATTCTTAGTTTGATTAGATCAACCTGGTATCTGTTTTACTTCAGATCAATCCTTTGTTAGAAAAGACCATGCATATTTTTAAAGTTAGCATCATCAATGCATCTTTAGGACCACAATCAGTTCCCCCAAAAACCAGAGTAATATTTTGTGGTGTGTTATCTGACTTGCAACTTAGCCAAAAATAATTACTTTCAACCAAATAAACAAATATTACAATACACTTTAATTTAAAGTTTGTAAGGATCTGGGTTTTTATGTGAGTTTATTAGTTAATTTAGTCCCTGTGTCTTGGCCTTAGTTGTTCCCAGCTGTGTCTTGGCCTTAGTTGTTCCCAGCTGTGTCTTGTTCTCTGATTATCTCCTTCTGTATTTATTCTCACCTGTGTCTGTGTTTCCCTGTCAGACCTTGTCTAATGTTGTGTCCTTGCCATCACTGTCTGCTTAAATTCAAGTGCTACCAGTTTGTCAGTTCCTTGCTTACTCAGCCACCTGTGCTGCCTGGATATTGTCTTATGTTGTTCGTCATCATTAAAACCATCATTTACTCTACAGCCTGGGTTCACCACGTCCATCTTCCTCACCAAACAACAACTCATGACAAAGTTACTGTAGACTGGAGATGTGTTTGCAACTTTTTTTGATAATCATTTTAAGTCATGCAAAGAATGCAAATGAATGTTTTAAATTGTAAAAAACAGTTATTTTGTGCTCACTGTATAATTTTCTTAGCTCTGTTGGTAAAGTGACAGAAAAGAGAACAGTAAATGAAGCATCTAGAGAAAATTGTGATTTAATATCATATCCTTAATGTGTAAGTTGTAAGAATGCTAATAAAAAATGATTGACTTTTGGCAAAAGTGGACTCATTCTGCAAATGTTTTGATATTTATTTCAAGCTTTTTGAACAGGTTTAATCAAAGATTTACTTTCACATGATGGAAAACATTTTCTAGAAATAAAAAGTTCATATAAAAAATTTCGTATCTCCTTAGACTGTAAACCATAAATAATGGGGTTGAGGCTACCTGGGACAATGACAAACAAGATAGCTGAGAGTTTTCTGTAGTCTGAATATTGGGGAAACCGATGGAGAACAACAATTGTAAAGCCACTAAGAGACATTATAAGATAAACGACCAGATGTGTGCTGCAAGTCTTAAATGCTTTACTGTTCAAAGATTTGTTCTTAGTGGCCAGACAGACTGCTGTGATGCTCCCATAGGTGAGAATAATGCAGCCAATAGACGCTACATACAGCAACACAGTGAATGTCAGACCATAGATATTATTAATGATCACACTCTCGCAGGAAAGCTTGAAAAGTGAGGCGTTATCACAGAAAGGGTTGGCGATGAGGGTCCTGCATCGGTTTAGCCTCACAGTCAGACCCAGCAGAATCCCAACCAGCACAAACGGCACGCCCCAGGACAGCGCTATTAGCTTTACTATCATCCTGTTGGTCATTATGGTGCTGTAGGACAGGGGACGACAGATGGCAACGTATCTGTCAAAGGCCATGACCATTAGCACTGTGTGGGAAGTGGTGCCAAACATGTGTGTAGTAAAAGCTTGAACCACACATTCATAATAACTGATGAGACGCTCAGATGGAGGCAGCAAGATGTCTGAAAGCAAACGGGGTAAAATATGAGTACTTCCAATGATGTCACTGACCGTCAGGTTGCCAAACAGCACATACATGGGCTGATGAAGATTCTTTTCAAAAACAATGATTATTAAAATACCCAGATTCATAATCATGAATATGATGTAGGAAAACAGAAACATGAAAAAGACGAGGCGCACTGAGTAATCTGCGACCTTCAAGCCCTCCAGCTGGAGCATGGGACTGTTATATGTGTAGTTTTCCATCTGCCTGCAAAACAAAGCAATGTTTAAGACAACAGACAATTTGTTGAGAAGCTACATTAAAATACAATTTCTTAAACAGATTTACTACAAAGATGAAATAAATTAACAATACTTACAAAGTTAGAAAATGTTGACATTTAAAATATTAAAATAGCAGTACATCCAGCAGACTGATACACACGGCATGCATGTAGAGTACCACAGTTCTTATCCAGATTATTCAATGTTGCTTGTATTTCTTGAGGCATTCGTAACTTTAAGAGGGAAGGGCCAAGTTCCCAAGATAATTTGTGATGTAGTCTTTTGAAATGTTTACTTGCAACTGTCAGTAGACAGTTCTTATTGGTTCTGCAGGCCTAATGATCTCTCACTTTATTGTTTAGTTTTTCCCACAAAGTTTATCAGAGTTGTGTGCTTACAATGATTGGCTTTTGGCAAAAAGAAAGTTGATTCTGGCTCAACCTTTATAATAATATTATTTATTAGACCAATTTCAGGTAACCTACTGAACATTTGGTGTAGCTCTGTAGCTCTTCCAAAAGGTTCAATAAAATTATAAATCAATCATTGTATCAATTCCCTGATAGGATTTTCAATTGGATATTTTTTCTGTTTTACTTCAACATTTACTTAGCAGTCTTGCTTACAATTAATAGTTTTAACTCTTGTGCATGCAAGGACTGAGGCAAACGTGGAGGCCTGCGGCAAATGATACAAGTTTTACGCGTGTAGGGTCGGTTGGACCCCATTTTCAAACACAAGGGTTAATGGCTTATACTTGTAAAGTGCTTTATCAAGTCCAAAAAACCCAAAAGTGCTTCACACAACATTTCTGTTCAATAAATTAAAGTATTATTGTCAGGATCTTATGTTTTTGTTTTTCTGTGTTTGTAGTTTTGTTCATTTGCCTTTTGTGTTCTGCCTTAGTTATTCTTAGTTTGATTAGATCAACCTGGTTTCTGTTTTACTTCAGATCAATCCATAGGTATGTTCATGGTATTTATTCATTGTGTTTAGTTATCCTTTATTCAACTATGTTTTCTCCATTTCTTTCTCCTCCTTGTTCCCCTCTCTCTCCTGCACCTCATTCCTAAGCAGCCTGCTCCTTGTCAGTAATCAAGCTCTGTTTTTAAAAGCTCCAGTCAATCACTCAATGCTGAATTCTCTCTTTATGCCCCACTTGCCATCTCAAATGTACCTTGTCTCTGTTTCTTCTTACTCCTTGATACTTTTGTAAGATTTTGATTAATCATTTTTTAAATAAATTTTTCACCCTCAGCTCACTGGCTCAACTTGTTTTGTATTTGGATAGAATAACATGACAACAAACTGAAAATCTATTTATTTCAGGAACTTTACTCCTAAATCAAACACATAATATATATCAACTTCACAGATGCATGTTTAAAAACATGACAAAAAACAACAACAAAAAAACCTTCCATCAAACTTTTTGACAGGTGACATTATCGTGCAGTAGGCGGGACTTCTGGTGGCAGTAGACGGGATTTCCAGTAGGCTGGACTTCCAGTAATCAGATATGATGTCATCATATTTATCAGGTTACAGGATGCCTGGGAGCGAAACATATATTTGAATTAGTCAGTAGAAATTGATCAAGACAGATGTCTGGATACAATACCAGAAAATCTCCTTTGTGTCATGATATAAACAGGATTAGTTTTATAAAAACAGTCATAAAATAATTGTACAATAATTCCACTCTGTACTAGTTTACACTTAGAGTGGGCCTCTGTCCTTCTGCGTCCAAGTATGACTTGTCCGCCTTGATTCAGGGTCAAGTGACAGAAGTGCTGACAGAGGAATAAGCTCTGTTACCAATCTAATTTTCACTCACTTCCTTTTTGACTTCCTTTTTTAAAAAAAAAAAGTTCTCTCCTGCCTCTGAGTTTTAAGAACAGCACAACTAAAGTTTGAAAAGCATGAAGGAGAGTGTTAGAGAATCATTATCAGTAATGGTAATATCTATCTAATAAGAAAATGAATAATAGTTTCTCAGCTTCCCTCAAGCTGTTTAAATAGATTTGGAATGTTCTAATTACAGAGAGTGTGAAGGAGCAGACATGAGGAATATCCTCTGGTCAGCACACGGTCTGTGTATGTGTTAGGGTGTGAATGGACTCGTGAAGGTCGATGAGGGATAACTGCATCTGGACACATACAGATTCCTGTAGATCAAAACTACCGTTTATCAGTTAAACAATAAGCAATGTTTATGGCCACTGTTATATCACGACTCGTAACTGCTGACTACGAGTTTGTGATGTCCTTTATCCATTTAAAAAACTGTTTAAAGGACAGAGCGTCTTGGGGGATCACAACTTAGCAGAACTTCAACTACTTAGGTACAACTGGCAGTTGAAACTTGTTTCATTTTGTAAAAGCAGCATCAATCTGAATCATGTCCAACTTTCCAGGCAAGCAGGCTAATTTCAACAAGACTTCAACTATCAATTCTCAGGAGTTTTACAAGTAAGTATATATATGTGTATGTGTGTATATATTTGTATATGTATACATGGGCGTAGGTTTGGGTAGGGACGGTAGGGACATGTCCCGACCAATATTCACGGGATATGAAAAAGTCCCGACCAATTTTTGCCATATTGGCTCAAAGAACGTGGATCTACGATCTTTGATTAGCAGCAACAGGCGGTGCGCGGAACGGAAGCTTCTTAGTTTGACATTTATTATGAGCCTCCGAGACCGTGTCGGGGGGGTGGGGGGAGGGGGAGTCAGTTGAATCGTCGGACGTTCTTTGATTAGCTGCAAAAGGTCCCCACAAGATATGAAAACACGACTGTATGTGTGTATGTATGTTGGTAAAGTTGAATTAACTGGACACTTAACCTGAATACACACGACAGTTATGGAACATGTTCAACTGATAGGACAGTATCGATGTCCTATTAATTGGAGGGTGTTGTAATGGATGCTATTATTTCACAGTTTGCAGAGCCCTTGAAAATGGAAGACAGGGTAGAATCTGCAAGTCAGAATCTACTTAGTGGATGAATTAAATACAGGTATGTTATCTGAATGTATCTAGTAATATCAAATTACATAGCTGCTAGATGTTTCGCTCCTTTTCCATTGGCTAATTCAAATGTATATCTCACTCCCAGACATCCTGTTACTGGATATATAGATCCTTTGCAACTATGTGACTTAATCATTTGATTAAGTCACATAATCTCACTTCCAGCCTGCAGCCTGGAAGTGAATGCAGGCTGCAGTTCGGGCCACAGCCTAAAAGTGTGAAAGAAAGCAGCAGTTTTTTTGAAGTGTAGAATAACAGATGCCTTCCATGCATTGCATAGGAGGCCCTACTTAGAATACAATATCATTAAAATTTTATTTAATACAGATATGTGGGCTTAATGAAATATAAAATGTTTAAACATTATTTTGAAATGGTACTTCTAATCTGACAAACAGGCCTTATCAAAAAATGCATTCTAATTTATTAAATATGACTGCATGATTTCATCATTCACCCATTCACCACTGATGATGGTAAGCTACACTGTAGCCAAAGCTGCCCTGGGGCAGCCTGACAGAGACAAGCTTAATGAATGTGGTGGAAAATTTACATTTAACATTTATCTCTCAGTGAACTGAACCAAGTGGAACAGTACTAATGACTGCAGGAGATTATCTGTATGACCAAATGTCTTGTAACCCTGTTATTATCGTTTTGATTCTGGAAGTGATGAACACCTGCATGCATAGATATTACTTTGGGTATAATTAGGTGTATAATAGAAAATATGTAATCTTTGTTTTCTAGAGCTGCATTCTCTGGGCAAGAAGCCCCTCCTTTACTTTTCTGCAAAGAATAAATTCACAAAAACAGCTTGTCTCTTCGCCATTTTCTTTGGTTTGGAAACTCGTATTAAAAATTCTAAAATTTGATCCCATCGGTGAGAACAGTGCAGCCAATAGATGCTACAAAACAGAAGCCCAGTGAACGTTAGACCATCAGTATTATTAATGATCCTACTCTCACTGAAGAGCTTGAAAAGTGAGGAATTATCACAGAAAGGGTTGGTGATGAGGGTCTTGCATTGTTTTAGCCTCACAGTCAGACCCAGTGGAATCCCAACCAGAACAAACGGCACACCCCAGGACAGTGCTATCAGCTTTGGTCATTATTGTGCTGTAACAGAGGACAACAGATGGCCACGTATCTGTCGAAGGCCATGACCATAAGCACTGTGTGGGAAGTGGTGACAAACGTCCAATAAAAGCTTGAACCACACACTCAGAAGCAGAATAAGAAAGGAAGCCTAAAATGATAAACTATTGAGAAATAACACAAAGTGCTAAACATGTGTCTGCATGTTTGACACAGAGTCAAGCTTGCTCTCTGACACACCAAGGCTGTTAATGGATGGAATCTGAAGGCCTGCTCACGATGAAAGGGTCTCATGTTTCAAAACCATGGGTTCGTTTAGTGCAGATAACGTTGGTCTGAAAGTATATTTTAACCACTGCAGTAGTTAAGTGCTGAGCATGAAGCAGGAAGGCTGAGAATCAGTTCCACCACATCTGGAGCCAAGGCTTTGAACCTGGATTACCCTCTCTTGACAGGGTTTAAGTGTTTGCCTAAATCCTACCATCATGG